TTGTCTCTCTCCTTCTTTGCAAACCACAGGGATATCGCAGCAGGTAGCGTGGGCAATTTGGTTTCTTTCATGCTCTGACTTTCAGCTCCAATCCAACATACGGACATCTTGCCAAGAAAGCTTTTTGTATCACTTACCTCCACTACCACCCCTGCCAAAGATGTGGCCGGCTGAATTTCTGATGCAAAAAGCACAAGAGCAAGGTCAATTTTAAAACAAAAAAAGTGGAAACCTTTACTAGCAGCATCCATGACTGCTAGACTGGAAATCTTCTTCCTTTTTTAACTGGTCTCCCATTACTATCTATGCATTGCTTTCATACAGCAACAGCTATTCTGTCTTACATCACCCACTTAACTAATTGTCCACATTCCTCAAAGATGTCCAGGATTGTTACCCACTTGCTTATGGTAAACAGGTCTTTCTGCTTCCTTAAAAACCTGAAAACACTACTTGAAGGCAGATGAATCAAAGGGAAGCAATTTGTTCATAGCTATATGCAATGAAGCAGGTGAATTGCCTGGACCTATTTTGTTTAGCAGGCAAAGACAAAAGAGGTGGTCTGATAGTAATGCTCAAGATTTTTGCAAAGAGGTTTGGGGCTAAATCTAAAAGACTGCAGCGTTTCAGAGGTGGCAGGCATCTTAGAGGTAATCTCCTCCAGGTACTGTTTGAGTGCAGGAATTTAGCATCCACAGCAATATGGGACAGATGCAGCTTTGAATTTCTGATAAAAACCTTTCTTTCATTTTTTTTTGCTACACAGTAGGAGTGCAGAGACTCACAAAGGAGAATACTTAAAAGTTCCCAAAACAGTCCATCCTTTTCTCATTAACCAGCACGTAAAGTCTCAATAACTCACTCTGAGACATTTGTAAGAGAAAGAATAAAACATTTTAATTACTTACAGTTGTGAACAGATCAACAGCAATCAAACAGCACTGATTCCACCAGACTAAAGAGGGAGAAAGAGACCTTCAATTCAGAGGCTGGAAGGAATGATTGGTTAGTGCTGGATAGATTGACAGTCAACCCAGCCCAGAACAGTCCCTCCTAGTCACTGAAATCATAGGCAGCATGCAAGGTTGCAAATAAATCTCCAACATCTTCTTCACAAAGCATGATGTAGGGAAGTATGAGAGGACCAACATACAAAGGCACTGACATCTCCATAGTTCTCATGAGAGTCAGGAAGGCATTTAGTAGACCCAATATTTTTAGCTAGTGTCAGAAGAAAACACCTGCTCTCTCAACATCTGCCCCTCTCTTCTCTTTGCCTCCCAAATACTCCAAGGTTTGCCTAACAGTTTGAGCATTTGTTTGTGGCAACATTTGGGCCCTCTTGCATCATGTGGGGCAGCTTGACCTGTCCCTGAGGTCAGTCCATATCTCATGCACAAGGGAACTCACCGTCCCTTGCCCTTCCCATCACAGCCAGCCAGGCCTACTCTGTGACTAATAGGCCTTCATTAATTTAAATTAGGGAGCTGGCCCAAGCTTTGGGGCAGTGCTTGCCAGGAGCAAATCTCATCAAAGAGTGGCGATCCCATCACACAGAGACTCAAGAGTCGAAAATTGTTATAATCTTCAGTATTGTTTTCCAGCCAAGCGTCTGGCACAATGGCACTGCCTCAGCGGGCAGGAAGAGCTGCTGCAAAGAGGGTGACCAGAGGCAAATGGGAGGAGATAGGTCTTTAAAACAGTTAATTGCTGTAATAAGGCCAGTAGCAGCTGGTGCAACTTCCTTGGTCCCTTGCATGAGACACTGCACCTGTTGAAATACTGTCTGCTCTACTGTTCTTATTCAAAGACTCAAGAGTTGGGTCTTCCTAGAAATACATGTATTCTGTCTTTCCATTGTGAAAATTTTTAGATGAATGACTTTCTAGCGAGAGCAGCGGTCTAAACATCAAATTGGACATATTAAATCAACAAGTACAGTAGTGGTAAATCACAGCAACATCAAGCACCATTAAAAGAGGCAGTGTGATATAGTGGTAGGAATGAACTGCTATGAACTGGTAGGAATTTTAATTCTTACTTCTCCATTAAGTTTACATGGCCTCTCCATCTCTTTCTTTCACATCTAATGTAAGTATAATAAAAACAGAGATGGGGGAAGAAAGAATCCTATGTGCATCCATATGAAATTTCCTCCTGGTCAGAAGGAGGGATAAAAATGTAATGTATAACAGTAGGAATTTTCCATTATCTCTCAGAAATGATCACAAAGTGATTCTGGTGATGATGAGTTCCAGGTATAAAGTTTGTCTTTGTTTCTACTCTCCTCACCTTTGGTAGATGATCTTGGAAATATTAGTATTCTGGATGGCAGCTCCCAGAATCTCAGGCTGGAATTGTGGGAGTTGTAGTCCAAAAAGTAATATTTCCAAGCTCTGGGTAGCAATGCATCGAGAACAGGGCCATCAAACAAGATCTTGATAGTGCAGCTCCTGTGGAAAGAACTGTTGACCACCAGTTAATTCCTCAGAAAATTAGATTTCTTCCTTTTCATGATCAGTATAATGCATCAGGACCATCACTGCTACCTCCAGGCTGCATCTGTTCCCTCTAACAAAAACTTTTCCTTTCATTCTCTCTGATCACTTCCCTTGACCTGATCTTATCTCCCTTTAAAGGCATCTCTGTGCCCCAAAAGCATGTTTCACTAATAACATTTCGGTGGAAGAAAGATTTGACATAGGAAAAGTTTTAGCCTTCACAGCTTATCAGGAAGCAGTCAATAAGCCCAGTGGTCACTGTATCAGTTCCATTATCTAATGGGAACAGGGAATGCAACATGTGTCTTTTGAACAGAGAAAATGTTTGCCATTTTAAGCTCAAGGACATTTTAAATGAAAAGCACCTTTTGGCTGCTTTTTTTAAAAAAGCCTCCTCCCTCCTTACCTCATGTGCCAGCCAACAAAAGTTGGACAAAATAATGGCAGTTACCAAGACACTTTCTCACAGTACAATTGGGTGGTGGTAGTAGCAGTTTACATCCGAGAAGGAGTCTGACTTTGATTAAACACGTACAGGAACACAGTTCAGGTTTGCCAATTTGTAGTAGGTACACAGTCTGGTGTAGTGGATAGAGCAAAGTTACTAGGACTCAGGAGGCCAGGGTTCAAATCCCATGCAAAATCACTGGGGGTGTGTAATTGGTAAAACCACTACTTAAATATCTACTTAGCTTAAAGCTCTTAGGATTGCTACAAGTCCATTCCAACTTGATGATACACAGCTAAGGTCTTTATTGGTGGGCTTTTGCTTGGTTTTTATGTTGGTGTAATTCCTACGGAGACCCGTGTGTGAGAGATCCAGATTCTGCTCCTGTGTCTTTATTGGTGGGCTTTTGCTTGGTACAGTATTTATGTTGGTGTAATTCCTACCATTGGACTCGTGTGTGAGAGATCCAGATTCTGCTCCTGCCAGGCCAGTTATTTTTTTCCCCTCACCTTCCTCGCAAGAAAAGCACACTTTGTTGTGAGACCCAAAGATAGGAATGAAGGAGAGAGCGATTGGGCAAAATCCTGTTGTGTAGCTCTACCTGTACGCTCAAAGATAGGAACAACAAAATCCTGTTGTGTAGCTCTACCTGTACAGTGGGAATGGTAACTTTGTGGATGGCAGGTTGCTGCTTATTAAAGGCTTTTGATTTTGGTGTACACATTGTGCAACAAAGGGATACACACACCCCAACAGTGGAAAAGGAATTGTTTAACTAGCAACAATCTACTGCTGACCATGATGCCCTTTCCATTATGCAGGCAGAACCTGCCCAACAGGATTTCAGCCACTCTGGGCAGGGGCTTTAAACAAGAGTTCTGTCAGTCATTACTACAAGAGGGGAGCAAATAAAATAGGAGTTGGACTTGATGATCCATAGGGTCCCTTCGTGCCCTGAAGCTTAAGGCTATTATTTGGAGGAGGGGGGAATGCTCTGAGCAATAACTATTTAGATAACTTGCTGGGAAAAAGTAATCACAATGGCTTTGTTTGGGTGAGATGTGATGGAGCTGGTGAATAACAGAGTCAAGTTCTGAGATTTCGTCTTGTTTCGTCTCTTTGCGAATGGCCGTGAGAACAAGAGAGGGATCTCTCACACCCTCCTCTTGACTCCTGGTATTGGCGTTATGTAACACTTGGCATCCTTTCCTCTCCTGTGTGATTCTGAAAGGCGAGGTCTAGCCCTTTCCTGACATTTCTCGACCGCGGCCAAGGAAGCAACGACCTCATTAATCCAAAAAAGGTTTTCTGAAGGACGGCGCGGTTCCGTTACGGCTCTTTCGGAGCCTGGGAAGGGAGCCAAAATGGCGGCCGCGGCGAGGAACTCGAGAGACGCGTCCCTTCAAGACCTCACCGATTAAACCCGATCTTCCTGAGAGAGGGGGGGGGGAAGGAAAATCATCGCTTTTCGGGTGGGCCGTGGGCCTTTATTAAGCAACCCCCATATCCTTCTCTAGGGGGGCATATTTCCCCTCATAAAGTGCTCACAGAAACCCAGGCGCCCCTCCCCGCCCCCGCCCGCGAAGGCGGGAAAAATTTGATCGCGGCCCGCGTCTCGCTGAGGCAACCGGCGCTGAGGAGGAAGCTAGGACTGGTCGACAGAAGCTGGGTGTGTGTGTGAGAGAGAGACCCAGACCCTTTGAAAACACAAATAAACCCCCTTTCTTCCTAATCTCTGGTTATATAGAGAGGAGGTGCCGTGTTCCAAATCTGCTTGAGTGCGAGGAGGAGGAGGAAGATTCCCTCTCCGTGGGGTGGAAATGTCCAAGACGCCCCCCTGCCTCGCGGGATGGTAGATCCCAAGAGTACGTCAAACCCCCCTCCTTCTTCCTCGCCTCCCCCCTTTCACCCTCCCGCGCGCCTTTTGCCGGCCTTTGCCAAGGGCGGAGACGGGCGGAAAGAGCTCAAGGGGTGGGGTTTCGGGAGAGGTGGGGTTTCCGAAAGACGTGGGCGTGGCCCGGCTCTATAAAACCGGCGCCGCCGCGGTGACGGCCTCATTCTACCCCGGCGCCAGCTGGAAGCGAGAGGCGTAGTCTTGTCGCAGCAGCAACAGCAGCCGCCGTCGCAGTCCGCCCGGTCGTTTTTTTCCCCCCGTCGTCTTCTTCGTTGCAGAGTCTCCGTTTCTTCTCGAGTCGCCGCCATGAACGGTTTCCGTGACAGCAGGATTGAGGAGGGCACTTTTCTCTTCACCTCAGAGTCCGTGGGGGAGGGGCACCCAGGTGAGAGAAAGAAAGAAAGAAAAAAGG